TTGGGGAACAAATGCCACAACTATATTAACAAATTGATTTGCAAAAAGCAGACAGACAGGCCTCACCCAATAGAGTTGAAAGGATTAAAAAAACCCCCAAAAAACAGACACTAGGTACAAGATCAGCTTCCACAGCATAAAAAGATTTTCTTAATCTTAGGGCAGCGCCCTGTTGCCAAGGTTAGTCTTTACCTTCCTAAAAAGCAGTTTTGCTTGCAAACAGTCCAGTAGTTTATCAGACAGAATGCAGCCTGAGCTATGTTAAGAAAAATTCTGGAGTCCTAAGAATGTGAAAGTTTGTGCATATTTGGCAGCAAGTGTTACTAGAAAGCCTACATATTTTATCCAGTTTTAGTAGAAAATAAACATTAATTTTTTACAGTTTCCTTAAAGCAAATACATAAACAATTCCAGGTTTTCTACTCTTCTTTGAGAAGCTGCTGTGCAGTAGAGAGTATTTATCAAAGGAATACTTGACTGGAAGGAAACCACTCAGTCTATCCTGTTTCAACTTAAAACTATGTAGCTCATCTCACCATGCAAACACTTTCTGGAAAGCTCTTCCCGAGCTACACTGGTTCATCTGTTGAAAATCATCTTCTGATTTCCAGTCTAGACCTTTTTCATGGCAGTTCTTATCCACTTGGATAAATATTGGGTTTAACTTGTACAATTTTTCTAACATGTTTCTCACCTGATGCATTTATAGTAAACCAACGTGTTCCCCTCTAGTTATTAAGATCTGTTATTAAGTTATCAAGATTCTTAAGATCTTGTACCTGACTGTCGTTGGCTTTGCCAGTCATAAATTCTTCTCTGCCTGTTGCTGTAGCTCCCAGAGTACTCCTGCTCACACACGCACCCACACGTCGTTCCAACCAAACCACTACTTATTGCCCTGCACTGGCACCAGTGCTCCATGAAACTTCCCTGAGTGCAGAGGAAGCAATCCCAGCCACTCCTCCTTGGAGCAGCAAATTACTGCAATATCACAGAATGGCTTAAGGTGTTACAAAAATGCCTTGGCTGCTTCTCATAATTATAGAGAATAGAATGTATTTATTCTCTATAGCTAGGTATTCAATGCACCTGGAAGTCCTGTAGAACTGCAGAAGGAAGGTCACATCTCAAAATCCAGCAAAATACCAGTATCTTATCACTATGTACAAGTTGCTGAGATACTTCTCTGAAAATAAATGATCAGAAAATGTTTTACTTGTATATTGGTACAAAGGAGAGTACACGAACAAGAAGGGTAATCTATGGTACTTTGCTCTGGGTTTGTGCCTCAGTGGTGACAACACAGCAGCTTTATTGGCTGCTACTGAGCAGTGCTTGCACAGCACCAAGGCCTTTTCTTTTTCCCACTCTGCAAGTGGGCTGAGGCTGTGTGAGCAGCTGGGAGGGGACACAGCTGGGACAGCTGACTCAACACAGCCACAGGGCTGTTCCATGCCGTATAAACGCCGTGCTCAGCAATAAAAGCTGGGGAGAGGAGGAGGAAGGGGGACGTTCGAGGTGATGGCATTTGCCTTGCCAAGCAACCACTACATGTGATGAAGCCCTGCTTTCCAGGAAGCTGCCAGACATCTGCCTGTGGGCAGTAGTAAATAAATTCCTTAGTTTGCTTTGCTTGTGCGCACAGCTTTGCTTCAGTTATTAAACCGTCTGTATCTGAACCTATTAGTTTTCTCACCTTTGCTCTTCCAGTTCTCTCCCCCATTCCATCGTGCGGGGAGTGAGCAACCAGGTATACGGACACTTAGCTGCTGGCTGGGGTCAACACACCACAGTCACTGAAGTATTTTCAAATGTGATAATATGCACAGAGACAGAGGCCAGTTAAAAAGAAGAGATCATAGTTGCTACAACAAACTGCAGAAACAGTTTCAACATGCTGATTTTGCCAGACAGTAACAATTTTTCCTTTATGAGCAGGACAGCGATTAAAAGTTCGAGATACATGTGAACTAAACAAAAACTAAAAGTATATGGTCTTTTTGTCTTAATATATGTATTAGAGGTAAGGAACTCCCAGTTGGTACTAAGATACCTAAGGATGTACAAGTGAGTGCCACGATTCGAAAAAGCAGCATGTATCTACGTAAGAATACAGGACATTTTTTAAAACTTGGGTAAATCAAGCATTATAAATTAGCTGAATGTTAACAGGCTTATTATTATAAAGATATTATTTCAAATATAATTGAAAGGTATGTTTTAACTTTTATTCTTGCAGCTCAAACTATATGTAAAAAGAAGAATCAGTAGTAAAACTAGAAAGGAAAGGAATCCATCTATATATCCCTTTTCTTCTTGTAAGGAAAACTTCTTTACAGTCTCTAAAGAAATGAACTGTAAATAGGGATGAACATTAGGTTTTCTATGTTACTGCTTACTGCTCAACTTTAATAGGTTTTTCCTGATAGTGTTCTGTATTTCATAACCTTGAAATAAAATAATATCATTAACCATCCACCACTCATTTGAAAAATTTCCTAAATGTTTTTACTTTGAGGATCACAGGAATGCATAGATTAGATTCACACCCTCACGTGGAGCCAACAATGAGTAGTAGACAACAATTCATTCCCTTTTTAACCAGTCCTAAAAGCCTTTTACACTCCCCTAACCACCAACCAATTAATTCGCCTACCACTTGCTGGTTCTGGGACAATGCTCCCATAACCCCCTCCCACCTAACTCAGTCATTAACTAGGTTAGGGGAGCATTTCCCTTGTAAATGAGTCCCTGAAGCATTTTTACTTTTTTCCACCAAAGAGAGAGCAGAGCATATGTATTTTACTTCATAGGCAACAGACAGTATTTCTCTTTAAATGAAAAAAATTAAGGAAATAGACCCAAATATCACTGTGTACAGGTAAAAATATTTTTGCCTGCACAGAAGTTGCTAATATGGGAAAGCTTTCCCATGTCTTAAAGAAAGGAGTAATTAAAGTATTATGGCACTCCACTTTATAAACCAATGGTTCTGACTCTTTTGAAGTACTGCTCCTAGTTTTGTTTAACTAATAGTAGAAACAGAATGGGTTCATCATAAACCAGAGGTCAAAATAACGACATCCCCATTCAGCCTGAACCTTAACTCCTGAACACAAGTAGGCCTGAGATATACACAATTTTAGGAAGGAGCATGAAGAATCACCTAAAGGCAGGGCTCTGGTGAGTCATTGCAAAGCTTACTTGAGCAGCCACGAGACCAGATAGAATTGGTCTAGCCAGCTGGAAAACATGAGCAGTCGTACTTTAGCTATGCTAAAAATTAAGTCATGTAAAGACAAGCGGTGTTGGAGATGCTGGCCGCTATGGCAGGTATTGGATTAGCAATTCTACTTAATGATCACAATGGTTTTAAACAATCTGTTGGTCTGTAAAGTAGAGTGGTTTAAATAATATATCCATGAACTAATCATTAATGGCTTGCATCATGTCACTTCTAGGTGAGAATTTCTATATCATGTAGAAGGGCAATGAATGGAGACTTTTTCAAATTAGGAAAGATGACAACAATTAGGGCACCTATTAAATAAAAAGACACAACAATAGATGATATGACAAAGGTGTGAAATACAGAGAAGGCCAGAGATGGCATATACATAACTTCTTGCTAAACTCTATAAAGAGATCAAAAGAAAAAAGAAATGTGTTTCAAGATATCAGAGAAGATGAAGTGCCCACAGAAGATGTTCCCTTGGCAAATCACAGCAGTCTTCTCTGCTCCCTTTGGCTCATACTGATGACATCAACATGAAGGGAAGTTCAAGAACCAGCCTGAGTCTAAGACTTTCTATTAGAGTCTCTTTTAAAAGGGCACACTATTTCATTTTTAATGAAGGACAAGTGTTAGCAATCAGCAGGAGCACTATCAAAGAAAAATTTAGTACTGAATTGTCTCTGCCATTAAACATAAAAATGACACTACTGGTACAGACCAGAAAAGTCCATGAAGTCCCATATTCTGTCTGGTAGCGGGTAACAGAGGGCATCAAGAGGAGAACTGAATGTCACCTTGTCACCAGCATCACTTTTTGTGCAGTTGCATTAAAATTTTGGAAAATAATAGTTTGGGTGGGGAAAGAATTAATTGTAGCAAAATTAAGACAAAAGACTAGAATTAGACTGTACAAAAATTTTATATATGAAATCAAGCAGGAACTAAATGTTTAAGACTAACTGCTAGTGATGAGTTGAGAAAACAGCATAAAAACCATAAATACATTTTTGACAGCCAAATTCACACACTTTTAAAATTGTCACTCTAGTTTCTAAATAGAGAAACTGTTCAGTTTAAAAGATGAATGATATGACCATCTTGGATATCAGGAGGATTCAGAATTAAGAAGGGAATGTGAAACTTCTTAGTTTGCAGCATGTAGGTTTTCCAGTATTCACAGGCATGTAAGTGGCAAATATTTTGGAAAAATACCCATTTTTTCCACATACAATATCTGAACTTAACAAATTTTGCACTAAATATATCAGCTTATCAATTAAGCAGTTAAATTTTACAAGTAAAAAAGTGTTAAAATAATATTAACACTAAAATAAGTTCCACCAGTTAAAAACTATTAAGAAAACACTTTCTATTTCTACCTACCCTTGTCATGCCCCCAACTGAGTTTAAGATTCATTGCAACTTGAGTAAGCATCTCCTAGGTTCTGTGCTATACAGCTGAAATCTCCCTGAGCAGTATAGGTTTGCAAAAGTTGCTAATTTCTTTTTAAAGCAGTATTTGATGTCAATATCAACATATATTCAGGTCTCAGACAGAAAGAACATACTAGATTCCTCAAAACAGGAATTTAAAACCATCTTTGTACAGATCAAATACACTAGACAGTAAGTATCTCCATTTAAAAACTGCATATTTAAAAATAATTGCATAATTTATTTTATAAATTTCACAGGTCAAATCTTTGCATATTGACTACTGTAAAGTAAAAGATAAAAGTGAATTGCAATGATTTGAAAAATCCTATTACCTGTGTGCCAGCAGCACCCTGAAGGTCATCTGATTCAGTCCCAAATAACTTGGCAGCAACTTTGACCAATCCCAGTTCCATTCAGTAATGGCTGACTGTTGACACATGGCAAGAAGCTATTGTTAGTTATTAATCAGTGTTAATATGATCAGTAAATTAAAGCTCCAGCTGTGATATACTAACCTAGAAGGAGGGGGGTCTAGAACAAGGACTTAGACAGATGATATCAATCATGTCCACAGAAGAAGGTTTTTATTCCAATAAGACAGCAATTAATTTATAAATCCATTTGGGGATGTAGCCATTATTTATAAAAAGATAAATCAATTTTTTGAACCATTATTCTTCCAACTGTTAATGGCATTCTGCCCAACCACTTTGTCTGAGAGATTGACTCTTTGCTTGAAAAGTAAAATAATTGGCAACTTTTTATGTAACAGCAATTTACATTTTCTGCTGTCAGCAAAAAGTTTGTCAGAAAAAGCTTGGTATAGCTGGAACTCAGGATGTAACCTGTATCGCAATTAGAGTGATGGGTTACTTGTCTATTTTTCGTGAGGCACTCAAGTCACCAGATGGTTATTATAAACAGCAGTAAGTCTAGACAATGTGAACAAATATAACTCCATATTGCTTATTTAATAAACAAAAGCAATCTACAATAGTGGTGGGCAGACAAAAGACCACACACAACATTCTTATGCTTATAGAACAGCAACTCCTGTTGCATAATATTAATTTGCATTGTCAGTAATGGTCAAGTAGCGACTACAATTCAACATTCTTGGGAGGAAATCGTTCAAAAATTATTGTTGTAACACTAAAATAGCACTGAGTAGTTTAAAAAAAAAAAAAAAAGATGAGGGCAAGTGAAAACAACAGAAGTAAACCTAAATAAGAAGAATAACGTTTATCTTGCAGTGCAGCTTTTTCTTCTTACAGACAGCACTTTGTTCTTCTGGGAGAGCAGAATTGGTGCATTCCTTCCTCTTCCTTCCACCTTTACTTTGTTCCCTTCCTTCTTTTAATTTAATCTGCTCCCTAACCCTCATCTTTGGTATGCGTTTAGAAGTAATGTAGGG